TGGGGCCAGAGGGTGCTGTTATTGCTGTTAGACCGAGGGTGAAGCACGTGCAGCAGGGCAGTGGTTCCTGTTAGTAAGCCAAGAGGAATTGCACACACACTCGGCATGGATGGGGCTGGGGAAAGGCAATTTTACCTTCTGCTTGCTCCACGCTGCCAAGCTGCAGTACTTTTACAATGTTTAGCTCAAGTGGTCCCTGCTTCCTTTCCTTGACCATTCCTGAAGGATCCTGGGCGGATTCTGCTTTTGTTAGCAGGCCAACCCACGGCCTGGGCTCCCCTGCCCACAGCAAATGCCAAAATATCCACCCCCCTTCCCCTGAGCCGTGGGAGGGTGAAGCCCTGGAGGCTGAGCATGCAGCACACACCTGCTCACCGCCCCCAAAGGAAACTGCACTGACCCTGGCCCACACCTCGACCTTACTCCAAATAAAAATGCAGCCTGCTTTCTGATCCAGCAGGAGCAATCTCGCCTCTTCCCAACATGGACAATCCCATGGCCAGCAGAATTCCTGCCCTCCCACGTCATCTGCACCAGCAGCCTTTGAAAAAAGGGACAACTTTATCTGAAAGTGATTAACTGCACAGCCAGTGGCAGGGAAATGCTGTCACAGCAGGTGCCTGATGATCATTCAGTTCTTCACAGGAGAGAGAAACCTCTTAACTTCTTGTTGTCCACTGTGTACTGTGGACAGGAATCCTTCCCTTGCCTTGGAGCAGCTCCTTGCAGGAGCATCCCACTGCTCTGCTTCCCCAGGGACCTTTCCCAGGAGATTAACACCACTCAGCTTTACATCAGTCAGTGATAAGGATTATAGGGTCAAATGCTGTTAAGAAATGGCAGCAGTGAGCTACAGCTCACAGCCTTTTCTGCCAGTTCCTCCCAAGCAACATTTAAATACCCCTTGAATGCAAATCTCATAGTTTCAGAGAGATCAGGGGCATTTATTCCATTTCCCAGATCATAAGGGTTAAGGGACATTTACCAGGTTACACATCCACGTTCTTCCTGGAGGAGACACACTCAGAATGCCCACAGAACAAGAACCACGAGGTAAAAGGACTTGCCAAAATTTGTTCATCTAACAGTACTGGTGGAGGAGGATTCAGTTATTAATATATAAATAATATATGCTACTATAATTAGCAGCTGGATCCTCAGAATGAAAAATAAATTCCTCTTGGGAATGAAGCAGGAAACAGAAGTGTTTGTCAAACAGTTACCTGGCATGTCAGCGAATTTCCTTCAGCTGAAAAGTATTTCTAGGGAAGACTTTAGAGGGCAAGAAGACATGGGCTGAGCAGAGCTGCCAGCCCCAAAGCTGCCCAGAAAACAAGTCCTCCTCACTCCTAGTCTGGATTTATCATGGAATCATGGAATGATTTGAGTTTGAAGGGACCTTAAAGATCATCCAGTTCCACCCCCTGCCATGAGCAGGGACAACCTTCCATTAGACCAGGCTGCTCCAAGCCCTGTCCAACTTGGCCTTGGACACCTCCAGGGATTGGACAGTTATGTGAGAAACTGGTCAGAATAAATTAAAAAGTAAGGAGAGAGATGAGTTTCCTGTCTCTAAGAGCGTGTCTGATGGCAAGTGCTGGAACCACCCTGCTGGAACCTTCCTGAGGAAGAGGAAGAACACACACAATGACACAATTCAGCTCTATAAACACAGTGGTGGGGGGGTAAAAAAATTTAAATCCTAATTCTTGCCGAACCAGAAGAGATTTCAAATTCAAGAGTCCTTTTAAACTGGCCACAGACCACAGACTTGCCTTTCAGAAGTTCTCAGGCAAAGTGTGTCTCACCCCATGCTGTGGCTGCAGGACCACCTTTCCAGCTGCTCTGGAAACTAAAACTTCCACAGACTATGAAAAGCTTCAGCCAGATCTCCCACACTTTCCTACCAGCACAGAAATCTCATGGCTCAAGTGACATTGCATTATGGCAGGATCTCCTGCATCCACCCCAATCTGTGCCCAGGGGACAGAGCTCTGTGCAGCCCAGACTTGTGACAGCAGGGATACTCTGGCAGGGGCTGCAGTGCAGGACTCCTGTGACCAGAGCCCTCCACTGACCCTGCACAGACAGTGAAGCCACTGTCACCTTGGATGAAAATGGAAAATCCAGCACTGGGCTCCAAACAACAGGATTCCTCATTCCCCACCATCCATGGGCAGCCAGCAGAAATGAGGAAGCTTCTAGCTCTGCCCCAGGAAGAACAGGGTCTGTGTGAGGTACTGTAGTCACAATATCCACACAGCTGAAATCCACCCTCAGCAGAGCCTGGGCTGTTTGAGTTCAGACTGACAACAGAAGACAATTTGCTTCTGGCAGGAGATGATCCAAACAGCCAGACCACACTGTTCATCAGCACCTCCAAAATTCCCAGCAAAAACCCCAAAGAAGCTGCCTGGCACAAGCAGTGGCTGTGGGAGATGGCCCATTTCCAGCTCACAGCACAGCACACTGCAGTGCTGCAGAGGAGCATCAGGAGCCTGGGATGTGCAGGACACACTGAACACACGTGGCAGCACCTCTGGAACATCTGGCCCCAGCCCTGAGCGGGCACTGTCCGGCTGGCACCGCGTGCCCCAAACAGATCTCTGCTCTGCTGCCCCTCTGCTGGTTCTTTCCTTGGAATTTACACGATTTCCCAGCATTTACTGGAACATTTCCTGACCAATGCAGCTGGAAATCAAAGAACAGGTGAAGCACCATGGGTCAAACACTGTGCTGGGGCAGGGTAAGGCCTGCTGGCCACCAGAGGATGCAAACCAGCACAACAGAGCACTCTGCCAGTCGTTCATGCCCAGCCCTACTCAGCCACTTCTGCTTTCACCTTCTGGCCTCACACAGATAATTTTCAGGCCACAAGTTCAGAGAAGTCCCTGTGATCTAATATTAGATGATCAGCCTGTTTATGTTTTTGTTGCTAAGAGCAAGCTGGCGCTTTGGAAACACTGAAGCAGCCCAAACACTCCTGCAACAGCTGCCACTGGGAACTGAAATCCATACAGCACTGCCCTGACAACTGTTTGCCTTTTTATTTTACTGGAATTGGTCTCCTTCCCTAATAAGCTTTTCCCATTTAGGTGACTTCTCCTGTCTCCCTGTGTCCATGTTTCCTACTTCCAATGTGCAGATAGCTCCCAGTCACTTTATCCCACTGTAAGGACGTACATTCATCACTAAGGTTTCCTCCCCAGTGAGCACAATACAAAATTTCTGGACTTTTTTTACTCTCAGTTGTTTCAAAGCATCAGTTGAAGGTGAGAAAAATTCCTAGTGTTTTCTCTTTACATTACCATAATTCACATGAGATGGTTCTCTAATAAAAATGCAGGAGACAAACAGATCTTCTGTATTATTTATAGAAACAGATTTGACAGTAAATGCCAATGCAGTAATATCAATGCATGCTTTTTTGGGCATCTACAAATAACTATCCCTGTCCAGCTCTCTATCTGCAGACAGTGCCAGAAGTCTGGGGGGACTTTGAGAAGCCCACTTCTGAAGGGAAAAATCTGCTTCTGCAACTTCATTTTGGGCTTGTTAAAATGGAGAGACCCTTGTGAAGGGTCTGAAGTGAGAACTGAGAGCACAGTACTCACTCTGTCCTCTTGCACAACCTCACTGGGCTCTGGCAGCATCTTCTGGCAGCTCATCTCAATCCAACTGCAAATGACCCCAAGCCAAGTGACCTCCAACAATGCAACAGGAGTACACAGAGACACTTCCAGGGCTAACCCAAGTGCTTTCACACCAAAGTTACCCTCCAGTGGCTGGTGCAAACTATCCCTGCACACAAAGCTGATGAATGTGGCTCCTCCAGAACGTTTTAATACTTTCCTAGTGCTCCCTGTGCTAGCTCTGGAAAAAAAAAAATAAAAATCCTAAACAGCATTACAAATTTAAGTATTTTCCAACAGCACAGCCCACCTTGCTTGGATGTACTGCAAGTGAAGCTGAGCAGCAGCTCAGCCCAACCACCTTTAGTGGCTGATAATTCCCATTATTGCTTTTGCCATCCTTCAGCCTCAGGCCATTTAAGATGTGTCACAGCACTATCTGCACTCAGCAAGGGTTGTATTTCAATAAATCACCATGACAATGTGGAAGAATCCAAGCACTCTGTAGATACTCTACATGAACTCACTGCTGGTTAGAAACACCCAATAATAAATAATAGTTATTTATTACTATTTGCTTTCACTGATGCCATCAGAGGAGACAGATTTTGGAAAAGTTAACCTGTTTGCAGGAGGAATATACAGATCAGTTCATATTCTGTAATTAACACACAGGGTAAAGTTCCTTTGGAAAGAGCTGTCTCCCCAGGTTTGTATTTCCCCAGTCTTAAAATAACACCATGTGATAAGGAAGACATACCACCAGCTGGAGTCAGTCATTCCCACTGCTGCTACTGCTGGAGTGGCCTCAGCTGCACACGGCAGTCTCCTGCCTCTGGCCTTTCCAGTCAAAGCTGGAGTCCAGCTCCTACTGTGTCACACACTTACACACCCCAGGAATGTTTGTTTTCTCCCACTCAACTGCAAAGGGAATCTGGGGGACCTGTGCAGCACAGATGTCTCCATCAGGGCATAAGTAAATACAGCTGAGCTGAATCAGAGGGACAGATTTTATCTGAATGTATCTCAGGACAATGGTCTTTTTAGGGTGGGATTCATTTTACACAACCCACTGTGAGTGGCTGCTATGCTGTGTGTCCCTGCAAACACACTGGGATGGGGCTGAGATTAGGAGCTGAGATTAGTACTGAAGGAAAAGGCTGAGATGCTGAAGAGACAAGCAGAAAATTATGGAACTCAATTTAACCTACAAGCCCGTGATGATTCAGTTCAAAACCTTCAGACTGGGTAGGGACAGCAACCTGGGAACTTCATGGAGCACCTAAAAACCAGTTCTTAAACCCCCACCATCACCACCACGTGAGAGCTGCCCATGGAGGGGGCCACTGGAGCCCACTCCTCACTGACCTTCTGCGCTCCCTGGCCTCCTCAGCAGAGAGCTCCTTCCCCAGGGCGGAGGCAGCCCCGGCATTCCCGGTGCCGTTGGCAGCGCCGAGCACAGCACGGTTTGTGATTACACCTAGAGGGGTGCTGCCACAGCTGCCCTCTGCGTTTTTCTCTACAGCAGAATCAGTTTGTTGCCTGAAAGGGGCTCTGAAATAGAGAAGACATATGGAAAGCAAAGCAAGTGAACTCCAGTGCTGATCGAGCCCAACCTCCTCCACGGGGGAGCGTGGACAGTTCATCCTCCTCGCTTTACACTCGTGTTTGTAGAGAACAGCCACAGTAAAATGAATTTTACAAAACTTGGGAGAAGAATGAGCAGGAGGAATTAACAGCCTTCACATCCCTGTTAGTAGCAAAAATGATCAGAAAAATGTACCTGGTGAATAAGCAGAAGGAAGGGACTCCAAGAGCTTATACACTGAGCACCTGGGGGCAGCCTGAGACACGTGCTGTGTCACAGGGACAGAGGGCACAAGGGACTGTCACCTGCCTGCCAGTTCCACCCACCACTGGAACTGTCCAACACCACCATCCTGGGATTCCTCATCATCCTGGGATTGCTCATCAGCACTTCCCATGTGGAAGCACACCTCCAATCCCTAATCCACTCCACAACTTCCAACCCAAACGCCGACTTTTGGAGCATTACATCCGCTGGGAGCCGTTACCTGGTGTTGTGGCGGGCTGAAGCAGGAGTGCTCACACCGAGAGATGGGGGACAGCAAGGGACAGCTTGCCACGGGGTGCCCAGGGAGGTAGATGAGCCAATGGCAGTGGGTGAGGTAGCTAGAGATGGACTGCAACTGGCTGAAATGTAGGGACTGCTCAGGTCACTACTTCTACCAAATGAAGCACTGTAAAACATCACAAAATCACGTCCTTCAGAGCACAGTAAATATTCAACAGCACATCCCACAGCCAGGCTGGCAGCTGGGAAGGGAGCAGGTACCACATGGCAGCAAAATGTGTGCAAGGAGATGAGAAAGCGGCAGAGCTGTCGCTGGTTGCCCACACAGGCCAGGGCCAGCAGAGCCCTGCTTAGCTAAGCCCAGCTCAGTTCCAGCGAGAGCACAACGGCGTGGGGGGGAGGTGGGGAGGATCAGGGAAGGCACAAACCCTGCTGCAGTGAGAGCAGGGCACATGGAACACCCTGTGCCCTGGGGAAAGGCAGGTGCAAGGATGAGGATGCTTAAAGCAGGAGAGGAGAGAGTGACATAACCTGGTCTGGCTGCAACACCTCTGAGAATGTCCAGCACTTCCAGTTTTAAGAACTAATTTCCAGGGGCTTTAGGTTTTGGCAGAGACAAATCAGTTTAGGCTTTAATTCTCTTTAAGACACATTTGGCATAAACATATAGAAAATAGCTAGCACAGCTATCCAAAAATATTCAAGAATGAGCAAGGAAAATATTTTGCCAGTTTAAAGCAAGCCCTGAAAACCAATCTTTACTGAAAAGCTGTGTTGTGTTCATATTTTGGAGAAGACAGAGGGGGAAAGAAGAAGGGCTCTTATACAAGGATGGACCTTTCACTTTTTCAAACAAAATCCAGCCTAAGGGGAGAGAAAATCCACTCTAGTGGGAAAAGCTGCATATCTGTGAAAACAGACTTGATGAAATCTGGCAGAATCTCCTTGCCCATGGCCTACCCCTGCACACAAGCTGCTCACTGCCTGCACAGAGCAATCCAGGGGCTCCTAGGGCCCTGACACAGCTTTCCCAGTACCTGGAATGCCTGGTTGCTACTGGTCAGACTGGACTGTCTGAAGGATCAAAGGCTGGCTCTCACCTTCTGCATCCTAATGGCTCCCACAGCAGGGCACATGGACCAAAGTGCTTGCACAGGAATAAAAGCTGGCCTAGAGGAAAGAAGCAGGCCAGGACAGAACTGCAGGTTTTAGGGAAAGCCAGGGACAACAGAATGAAACTGGAAGTCAGCTCTTGAGTAAGAATCCAGAGAGGCTGAAATAGCACTGGGAAGGGGCAGGACCACAGCCAAGGACAGGAGGCCAGAGAAAGGATCCAGTCCTGTTCACCCAGGCACCAGTTTACAGCAGTTTTACATGAGCAGCTGGTCCCTAGGGAGCCAAAGGGGACAACAGAGCATCCTGGAAGGCCTCCACAGGGGGAATTCTCCCCTTTGGGCTCCTCGGTTGATGGCAGCCTGCCATGTCCAGGTCACACAGGAACAAGCAAGTCATTGTCACCAGGCAGCAACCTCTGTTGGACCCTAAACAGAGCTTTTTCTTGGAATGCTGGCCCTGCCTGGAGCATGCAGGAGCAGGAAGTCCTGCTGGAAGCAAGTCCCTTCCTTCTTGGCTCTCTGCTCCAGAGGGAAAAGCCAAGCCCTGGAGATGGGCTGGGAGAAGGGTGGGAGTGGGAAGAGGAACCTGGCTGGGGTGGGCATGTGGAGCAAGTGGCTGTGGAGTCATGTAAATGAGTGTTCTGAGGAGAGGATGGCAGTGGAGCCTCTGTTTGGGGAAGGAAGAAGAGGATCAGCAGGGGAAAAGGTTGTGGCAGCCCTGGGAGAGCAGAGATGATGTGGCACCATCCTAGGAGAGCCCAAAGCAGAGAGGCTGGGGCACGAGAATGGCTGCAAGAGAGAGAAGGAACTTGGTCAGGAAGGGAGGATGCAGGAGGGATATCAAGAAAGCCCTGACAAGGATTGTCTTTCAGAAGGGAAAGGAGGATGGAAGCAGCACCAGGTGCCTGGGA